TTTTTTAGCAAACTCCATGCGGGCTTTCATGTGTCTTGCACTGAGGAGAGGCTTCCATCGGGCCACTCTGCCATAAAGCCCCGACTGGTGGGGGGCTGCAGTGATGGTTGACTTTCTACAACTTTCTCCCATTTCCCGACTGCATCTCTGGAGCTCAGTCACAGTCATCTTTGGGTTCTTCTGTACCTCTCTCACCAAGGCTCTTCTCCCCCGATAGCTCAGTTTGGCCGGACGATCAGCTCTAGGAAGGGTTCTGGTCGTCCCAAACGTCTTCCATTTAAGGATTATGGAGGCCACTGTGCTCTTAGGAACCTTAAGTGCAGCAGAAATTTTTTTGTAACCTTGGCCAGATCTGTGCCTTGCCACAATTCTGTCTCTGAGTTCTTCAGGCAGTTCCTTTGACCTCATGATTCTCATTTGCTTTGACATGCACTGTGAGCTGTAGGGTCTTAGACAGGTGTGTGGCTTTCCTAATCACGTCCAATCAGTATAATCAAACACAGCTGGACTCAAATGAAGGTGTAGAACCATCTCAGGGATGATCAGAAGAAATGGACAGCACCTAAGTTAAATATATGAGTGTCACAGCAAAGGGTCTGAATACTTATGACCATGTGATATTTCAGTTTTTCTTTTTGAATAAATCTGTAAAAATGTCAAAAATTCTGTGTTTTTCTGTCAATATGGGGTGCTGTGTGTACATTAATGAGGAAAAATGAACTTAAATGAGTTTAGCATATGGCTGCAATATAACAAAGAGTGAAAATTTTAAGGGGGTCTGAATACTTTCCGTACCCACTGTATGTGCTCAACAGCTGTGCAAAAGAAGGATTGCACAACTCAAAGTTATTATCTATCTGTCTTTCATACATTATTTCCAGTGACTAGTCATGGTTGTCCTGTTAGTGATTTTGCTGTGATCTTTAAACATATTCTATATATATTCTATAAAACATATTCTGTACCTTTATTCAGGCTGTGATTTAACCTTTCACAAACAAGCAGCAGAAATGTCTCCTGTACAGATGAAATATTAAACTTTTACTGATCTGCTCATTTTGTCTTCATTTGATTGCTAGAAGAAAGACAAAAAGACAGGAGTAGTCTTAAACAGTTTTCCAACAAATCAATAAGTGATATGCTAAAAACACAGACTACAGACATTCAGTGGTTGAAAATCATAATTGCTACTTTTCTTAGAAGCTATACCACATTGTTTCTGTAGAAACAATGTGTGCATATTTGCTTAAGAAACCACATTTTATAAAGTATCTATGAGTTGGAATTCACTTGAGTTTGAATAGGTTACTTAAGTATAATTTTGCAATACTTGTACTGTGCTGAGTGTTTCCATATTAAGGCACTGTATACCTCTTGCATTTCAGAGGCACATCTACTTTTTCCTCCATTGCATTTATTTGCTATAGTCACTACTGCTACACTCAGTGAATCCAAACAATATTTTTTACCATGGCAATGTAATGGAAGGTGTGGATGTTCCGCAATAAACTGACATTGTAGGCTACTCCAGTTTTTGTAGGCCTATGTGGCATGACCAACCCTACAAAAGGGATATCTTACAAAGTTTTTATTCAATTTTTGTAAATAATGTTTGGTTGGTTCGTTGGATAAACCGGTGAGGTTTGTTTGGTTTTTTTAAAGAAGATCCCTGTCAAAAAACTTTTGAGGTCAAACTCCATCACAGCTAAAAGGTGCAGAATCATGCTGCATTTCCTATGGCCCATAGCTGTGATGCTCTGGGGCGCATGCGCCGTAGGTACCAGGGTTGTCGCATCACATGACGCAGTGATTTGACTCCACCCTCGGCTCGAGGCTTTGAAAAGGGTCACGTTGCGCTGCAGCAGTGAAACAGGAGACTGAACTGAATCATCAGCATACCTTCTAGCTGCTCTTTGACCGTTAAGATACCAATTAACAGGTAAGAATAAAGTCTGCGCTTATCAATAATCGTAGCTCCAGGAACTTATCAATTGTATTTATTGAGCAGGTATAGATGATAAAAATAGTAATGGTGAGGATGGGGATCGGGATGTGATGCTGCCCTTCACGAGCTGTAGCTAACTGTCTCTTTCTAGCTAGTTATCCATTAATTATTAGTAGTATTGTTTGTACCTATGGTACTCAGGCTGTGGTATCCTTTGGCAGAAAGGCATTAGAGTCTTACTATTTTTTTAAATATCTGTTTAAAGTTGTGCATAGCAGCCCATTATCGAAATACGCAACAGGAAGTGCGTAAAAAGGGTGACCTTCAAGGATGAATGTGAGCAGGAAAAAGCGGGTTGCGTCTGCTTTTAAGATAATTTCAAATGACGGTAGAAGCACCATACCATTTTTATGTTTTTATTTTAAAATGGAATGTGCTTGTTTATCCGAGTAGCAGCAGTGGTAGGTGATGAGAGAGGGTGTTGGTGCGGCGGTGTTCTGTGTATCTGAGCTGCAGCACGTAGACTTCCTCCGATGTGATGTGATGGGAGGCGGAGCATGCTGAGGAGACTCCATATGTGCAATTCAGTAAAAGACACTTATTTCTAGCTTCACACATGAATGTATTTGTAAATCCAGATTTCATCCTATAGACCTAACACTACAGTACATAGACAAATACTGAACGGATTGGTTCATTCTTCGATTAGCGGATTGACCATAAATCAGTATTCTGCAATGCCTTCTTGGGCTAGGAGGAAATTATGACGCATATTCTGTGTTTTCGGACAGTGTTTTCTCTTTTTAAAGAAAATAGTGATTATATTTCATGTAATTGTTTGGGGTTAAGAAGCTTGGTGAAATGTCATGTACTGTAGCATGATATGCACATTGTCACCGTTATCAGCCTCCCTCTGAAGTGCAACACACAGCTTTGACGTCTGCTATAGGCTCATGTATCAGAGAGCTGCATGGGATATGGTGCTCCTGCTAGTTCTGCTGGAGCAACACCTGAAGACTGAAACGGCCCACACACTGGGACATGCATCAGTGCCAAGACCAACAGCCCTTCTTGTGACTAAATGCACTACTTTCACCTTTAACTAGTGCTAACCCACAGCAGCCATTTCACCCCCTTAAAGGTCATGCAGCTTGTATTGTAGAGAAAATAAGTCCGGAGTATCATTGCTGTACCTTGTATTTGGACTGATTATTACTGACAGAATTATTTCACATACAGTGATCAGTGTTAAGTGGTTCAGCATCTTAGGGAGGTGGCTTTAGTGAAGCAGTGTAGAAATTGTGTTTGTATGGACAGGTGGTGGCTGCTGAAGCATATCACCTCTATCTGTTTCTACATGAACAACCTTAGACATTTTGTTACCCAAGAGGCTACATCAAGTCTAGACTGTATCATTTATCTTTAAAATAATGAATCCTCGTGGTGTACTGAAATCCAGTGTGATGTACTGAACTGAGTTTACTCAGTAGCAGTATACACTAGTTTTGGTTTTACTCATACAGTGCGTGCCAGGATATGACACATGACTTTGTCATTGGTGTCTGAGCAATTATTGTAAATGTCAGAGGAGCTTTGGTGTGGTTCTTTGAGTCCTTTCAACAGGACTTAAAGACTATGAAAGGTGTTTTATGTCGCCTGGACCAGATCGACTTCTTCAGGCATGCAAAGAACTCAGACTCTGTGGCCAGCCTGAATGGATAATAAACATTTCAGTGCTGACTGCAGTCCATCTGTCAACCATTATGTCTTCATCAGTGGTCCTCCATTTTGTTTTCAAAATGGAGTCAGTTCAGTGTACAGTGTTCCCACCAGATGTTCCCACCAGACCTTTCACATCTAGTGGCTAATTAAGATGAAGGTTAGTGTAATCTTCAAGATGTACAGGTTTTTAAAAAATATTCCGCAGCCTCTAACCTGTTTGCTCAATGTTTATGAAGCAACTGATGGAGCTTCTTCTTTCTCATCCTTTGTGCTTTAGCTCCCCCAGTGGAGGCTGAGCTTTTCCTGGCGATATAAAGAACAGGAACTAAAATAGAAATAGTCTGTGTGATTAACTGTTGTGAGTGGAAGGTGTGACAATGAGCAACAAGTTGTCTTCTGCCAAGTTTCTTTGATAAATCAGATTTGCAGTATTCAGGCTTTAGCCTCATTGACATTTGACATTGATTTGCAAAGTGTTTTGCAGTGTTTTCTCAGCAGATACCCAACCACCCTAGGCTCAGAGTCAGTGAAGAAGTACTGTTGAAGCGTGCTTCACAAAAGATGGCAGGTATTTGCTGAACCTGAGTTTTGTCTGGCTAACAGTAGAGCAGGACTGTGCACACACAGCCATAAAGATTGTTATATCTTTAATCTGGGGATTAACATGGGATAAAGAGCAGTGTCCTCCCACAGTGAACTTGTCTCAGTTGGGAATCAGGCAGTCATGTGAGTTGACTGTGTAAATGTACTGCATGGTTGGTATCAGAATACATCATGCCTGGTTGAAATACTCTAGAGCTTCCTGTTATCTAGAAAGCCTGTTTTTCTTTCTTTCTTCATGATGTTTGTATTAAACATTCCTTTGGCCTCATCCTAAGATTTCTTTTCTCAGTTGATGAACCAGACAACTCTTTATAATCTAACATGATAGTTTAGGTTTAGTCTAGATTGCTGTAATGCAAGTCCTCTGCATTCACAGTGGTTCACCCTGTATGGTAACTGTAGCTGGTTTTGTCCAGCTCTGTAGGAGCAGCTTAGCAACTGCTGAAGTCACAGCTTGTTCCCCAGCGCAGCCTGCGACATGCTTCAGGGATGTGTGAAAATGGGAATTCACCAGTCTAGTGTGTTCTTGTGTTGATATATTTAGCCACTAGATTTTTGCTTTCAGAAAGAAGCAGCATTCCTCAGTGAGGGTTTGAAAGAAATTCAATGCAGTGATTAAAAGTGAGGAAGCAAGTCATGTATTAATCAAGTCAAAGAAATAAAAGGCCTGGATCTGTGCAGTGCACAAATAGGGGTATAATGACGGAGCAAACCAGGGGAAGGTTGCTGAGCAGAGAGAAACGAACCGTGCTGCATCCAGCCGTGCTATAATGAGGACAGGCAGCAGCATGTATAATCATGCTGTTGCACAATCGCTCCCTCTATGGTTTGAGATGGAGTGGGTGGGGGAGGGGTTACATAACCGCTTAGCTATGGCAGAGTGAAGAAGGGAATAGGAAACAACATAATCAGGTTTGCAGGCTGTGCGTCATGGTACAGTAATGGTTTCTGTATGACTGAGACCAGACAGCATATCAAAAGCAAATTTGTCTTTTGAGTGAACACAGTCATATTCAACCTGGGATGATATGACTGTCAACAAGGAAGCTTTGAATAAGAAGGAAGTTCACACCCTTTGGTTTCCTCATACGTGTGTGTGTGACTTCAAGTGCCATCTTCTAGGAGGTTTAGTCACTTTCGCCCATCCTCCCGCCCTCGCTGAGGAGAGCGTAGTGCTGCAGTGAGGTAGCCATGTTGTTGACAATAGAGGGCCAGTGAGGCTGGTGCTCTGCAGTCGTCTAGGTCGAGACACTGAAACAAATGATGTGACCTCTCTATGTGTCTGTCTCTCCGTCCCTCCATGACCCCCTCCCCCCAGCCACCATGACTCACCAGTATCCCGCTCTGACTGCTGAGCAGAAGAAGGAGCTACAGGACATTGCTCAAAGGATAGTAGCTCCAGGAAAAGGCATCCTTGCAGCTGATGAGTCCACCGGTATGTGTGTGTGTGTGTCGTGTCAAAATGAGAAAGTATTGTAGATAATGCTATACACTACTCGGATATTAAAATATGTCTTTAACTGAGTTGTCAATGAATGAACAGCCCAAAGCTAAATAAGGATCTGTCCTAATTTCAGCCTGCATGTATGAATAATTGAATGTGTTGCCTGCAGGCAGCATGGCGAAGCGTTTGAACCCCATTGGTGTTGAAAACACAGAGGAAAACAGACGCCGCTACCGTCAGCTGCTCTTCACAGCTGACGAGCGCATCGACAACTGTATTGGAGGGGTCATCTTCTTCCATGAAACCCTCTACCAGAGCACAGATGATGGCACCCCCTTCGCCAAGCTCATCAAAGACCGTGGCATTGTTGTTGGCATCAAGGTACATAGTGCTGTGTTGCAGCCATATTTGAACCTCCAAAGCTGTGGAACAGTGGATTTCATCTGGCCTAACAGTCATTTTAAATAAGCATCTTCATCTTTCTCTAATGGGAAATGGTCATCTTTCCTCTCTTCCTAAAGTTACAGCCTCTCTCCCAAACATTTTAACCCTTACCTGGCTCCAGCTTTTGGGGTTTTTTTTTTCCTCGTGTCACTCCTAACCTCAGTCATATTAAACACAAGAACCTGGGTGCTAGCTCAGCTTTATTTGGTGGCTGTTAGCTTTAGCCCTGAATGCCCCACATATTATAAAACGGCTTGGTATTTCAGTATAGCAGACAAAAACACACCCATCATTAGTTTGGCATGTAAAAGTAGAAGGGCTTCTACACTGTATATGAAAACACAGACTCACTGTTGGCAGGCTCGGGCACATACACCTGCCCAACCCATAACAGCAAACCAGGTTGTGAAGACAAACTGGGTCGTGGAGCTTTCAGGTCATATTCAGTTCCTAGTTGTAATACTTACATTTAAGGGGATTTTGGTTCCATTGCTCTAGATAATATGGAAAACGAACTCCTGCTTAAGGAAACGATTGATGCACTTGAGAATTTGACATATATTTAAGCGCAATATCATATGTACAGCATTGCTTACAGCTTTTTCTGTTTACCTTTTTACAGGTAGACAAAGGTGTTGTGCCCCTGGCTGGAACAAATGGCGAGACCACCACTCAGGGTAGGCATAAGGAACACACTCTGAAAACCTTGCAAGCATTACAAAAACCCCTGCTGTATTTCTTATGGATGATTCTGTGCACGTGTAGGTCTGGATGGGCTGTCTGAGCGCTGTGCGCAGTACAAGAAGGACGGTGCAGACTTTGCTAAGTGGCGCAGTGTGTTGAAAATCAGTGCCACCACACCATCTAATCTGGCCATCATAGAGAACGCGAATGTACTGGCTAGATATGCTAGTATCTGCCAGCAGGTTAGTGGGAGATTGCCTACTGTCTTTTCATTTAGTTGGGTTAAAGTTATATTTCCTTTCATAAGCACCCCAACAAGTTAAATTTCCACACATCAGCAAAGTGGCCAGTGAGAATATGTGGCTACTTGAGGATATAACTGAGCATTGTAACACTGTCTTATACCTATACTTTGATGTCTCCTAGAATGGTATTGTTCCTATTGTGGAGCCTGAGATACTCCCTGATGGAGAGCATGACTTGAAGCGTTGCCAGTATGTCACTGAGAAGGTAAAGTACTGTATATAAAACAAACCGCTGTATATGTCCTGTAAAGCTGATATTTTGTTACGTGTTAGTGATGACGCTTTTGCCTTTTTGCATACTGTACATATATCTGTCTTCTACTGCTAGGTCCTGGCTGCAGTGTACAAGTCGCTGTCAGATCACCATGTGTACCTGGAGGGGACACTGTTGAAACCCAACATGGTCACAGCTGGACACTCCTGCCCCACCAAGTACAGCAGTGAGGAGATTGCCATGGCTACTGTCACTGCGCTGCGCCGCACTGTGCCTCCTGCTGTCACAGGTCAGAGACACACAAGAAACAAAGATTAATTGTGCACGATCGTTACAGTATCTGTATACTGTACCTCCAAAATGACAGACATGACACCATAAATATATTGAATTTATTTGTCAAATTTATAGATAACTGAGATTAAAATGTTCATTAAATTCTATCATTTCTTGAAAGTCTGAGCTTTTTTAAATGCACATTTCATCACATCATTTACATGTGTGCCTGGTAATGCAGCTGTGTCTTACACCAAGTCGGATCTTCAAGTCTATGTAAATGACATTTTGACACATGGAAAATAATGCCTAAAAGCTTCTAAATTACTATTTCAAGTATGTAATGTTAAAAATGCACCCGGTGCCATACTATCAATGTATTGTATAATGAGTAAAGCTTTAAGTCACTTACAGTCATGTGAAAAAATTAGGACACCCTTT